GTGTTCTTAAATTCTGTGAGCTGTATTAGCAAAATATCAAACCCAATGAGTGGGTAATGGGAACCTCTAAGTTACTGCGGGTCAGTCAGGGCCATAGGGGACAAGGTGGACTTGTGAGTGACATCCAAAAGTTGGGAGGGTGGGGGCTCACACTTACGGGATGAAATTCTTAACCTGTGGGGACTGAGTTAAATCCACATAGTTAGTATCATAATTGAATTGTGGGACACCTGACTGGTATTCAGAAAGTTGGGATATTGGTTAGTGTTTATATTGATTTTAAAAAAGAGACCAGAAAAAAAATCACAAAGATTTTGTTTGTTTGTTTGTTTGTTTGTTTGTTTAGTGCTCTCTTTCCTCCTGCCTGGCCTCCTGCCTGCTCCAATCCTTGCTCCCAAACTCTTTATCTTACTCTCACTAGCCACTGTATGCTGAGGTCTTGTATGCAGGGCTCTGCCAGAAGCTCTTTGTTCCTCTCCCTTTACTCTCTCTCCATATCGTCCTCGCTTATGGCTTGGTAGTAAATGCCATTAGTGGTCTGTAGTCCCCTCAAATCATCTGCACCACTCTGTGGGCCTCTTCCCTGGTTTTAGTCTGCTTTTACTTTAAATGGCCCCCCAGAGGACCTTCCTTGGGGCGTTGGAGGTGCTCGTAATGCATTTCTGGGATGTCTCCCACTACCTTGGAGGGTAGTGTGGCTGACTCGCATTAAGTGAGGAAGAGATGTCAGAGGAGCCTCAGCATAGTTCCGAGGGAAATATGGAAAGGCCCAGAGATGTGGGCATGTTAGCGTGGTGCTTACATAATACCCGAGAAAACACCCACTGATGGAGGAGGGAAAAAATAGGCCCATTTACTCAGTGGATCGGCTTGGCATGTGAGCACAAACTGAAAATGGACTACAGGTGTCCCCCACCTACTGCATCACCCAGACATTGAAGGGCAGCCCGGTGAGGCTGATGTGCTGCTCTCAGGACATAACAGATACCTTATGCCAGTGGTCACTGTGTGCTGCTCTGGTGCCAAGAGGCAGAATACTTGAATCTGGGAGCCACGGGTGCAATTAGAAAGAATCCACTCATCTCTCTCCCGGCGACCCACTTGTTTCTTGGGAAATTTTTGCTTCTGGGGAACCAGACCAAAGGCAGGCTGTAATGCTCATCTCTAATGTGCCAGATGCCAAATCTGTCATCTGACCCATAACTTTCTTATGGGCTCTAAATCTGAATATGCAAACATCCACCCGATTTTCAAAGTAAATACCTCACAGACACCTGAAACCTTAGACGTCCAGAACTGCACTTCCCATCTCTCGCTTCCTACAATATACCAGTACAAGTGAAGGGTTCTGCCTCCAGAGCTCACGCCAGAAACCTGGAGTCTCCTTAAAACTCTCTCGTTCCTTTACCCGCCATATCCAACCAACTGTCAAGTTTTATTAATTTTATCTTCTAAATATCACTTCTATTTTCCAAGAGAAGGGACAGTATTACTTCTCTCCAACCCTACTGCCACCACCCAAGACAAACCGCATCATTTCTCAGTTGGCAGCCTCTAACACGGTCCCCAATGATCTCTACCTTCTGCTATTCACACTATCATGGAACCTCCTCTCTTTTTGCTTTTAATAAATAGACTAAAGGAAAAATGATGGGATGTCACTTCTAAATGGTTATAAGACGACTCTGGCTTTTTTTCTTACTCTTGGTCTTTCACTTGCTTGCTCTGGGGGAAGCCAGCTCCCACGTTGCGAGCTGCCCTGTGGAGAGGAACTGAGGGAAGCCTCCAGCAGTAGCCAGTGAGGAACAGAGTGCTCAGTCCAACAGTCTGTGAGTGAGGCACTGAACCCAGGCACTGCCACCGAAGTGAGCACGGACGTGACTCCTTCCTCAGACAAACTCTCAGTGTGAGAGCAGCCCTGCCTGATTCCTCATTGCCGCTCTGTGAGGCCTGGAGCCAGCGGCTACCAGCTAAGCTTTGCATGAGCTCTCTTAACTGACACGGACTATGAAGCAGTGTTTTTTTGTAAGACACGAGGTTTTGGAGAAATCTGTGGCACAGTACTAGAGTCTGAATACAGCCTAACTTGTTTCCACTTGTGTATTTATTCTTAACTCCTTCAATCAATCTCCTCAAAGAAGCCAAAGTCTTATTTTAAAAGTGAAAATTCAATTGTCATTTTCCTATTTAAACCCTTAAATTGCCTCCGGGTGCTGTTGGAATTAAGTCTGAAATCCTCTTTGTGGGCCTTGAAGCCCCTGATCTCGCCCCTGCCTGCTTTTTGAGTCTCGTTTTGCATTATTCTTCGCCTCCCTCCCCCTGACCCAACCGTGGCCTTTATCCAGGCTTTGGTTGCCATTTGTTTTTAATGCACCACGTTCCTTCCCACCCCATGTGCACTGTTCCCTCACTTTTCAGCTGCTGGTCGCTGTCCTCTTGGACCCCCACAGACAGCACCTCTGTGGGCTCTACTGACCCCATTCCAGACTAAGTCGAGTCCACCCACTACACACCCCACAACGCTCACATAACAGGGAGCATTTGTCACTACTTGTTCTGACCTTCCTGCCAAACGGTAAACTCGCCAAGGGCAGAGAAGATGACTCCCTTGCAGACATTTTTATCACTGATGCTAGCACAGCATCTGCCACTCAATAAGAACTTTATAAATAGTTCATGAAGGAAGGAATGAAAGGGAAAATGAATTATAAAAATATAATCTTTCATATCTCATTATAAAACATGATCAAGTATCTCAAGCCACTGTAAAATTTAGGAAGCACGGCAAAGGCACCCATTGTTTTTCATGCTGAATATTTAAGACTGATTGTTCACATGAAGGTCTTTTCAGCCTATGCTGTGGCTGCAGTGTGAATTATTCCAGAGTTTAGACATTCAAGTGCATATATTTGTTCAAATATTCCTTCTCACAACAAATATTTGCTGAATGTTTGCTCTGTGACAAGGAACGTTCATCTAGACATCAAGGATAATGATGAAGTTTCTGGACTGAGTAAATGAGAGGATGGTGATGGTGACCAAGACAAGGAAGGCCAAGGAAGGGCAGGTTACAGTAAATGTAAAAAACACTTATAATAAACTGAACACATTATCAAAGCATACATTGTCGGTTAACAGTTATTGCTGTTACTTCTCTCTTGGGGCCGATGTAATTATTTACCAGATGGTAAGAATATTAAGAGTTGGAAGTCCTGGAAACAGTGGCAAGAGACCAGGGACCGAGTGATGGCGGGTTGGCTACATGGCCTGGAATTGACACCTTTCTTGCCCTTGGCCTCACGTTGCTCACTTATAAAATGAGGTCTAAATATCATATAAGATCTCTTCTGGCTTAAAAATGTTATTACTGTTTCAGTCTAAATGCCACTGATGCACAAATGTTCTCTGCTGTTTGTATACAAGTATTCAGTTTTCATGAGAGTTTGGCAGGTGTTGAAGAAAATGACTAAGCAAATTGCAAATACAGAAAGCCCTTGACCCAGCAGCTCCACTCTTGGGTGCTTCCAACTGCAATGCTCAGCAAGTTACAGGCCACACGTTTGAGTCTCTCAGTAGCAAAAGGAAACCCAGGTTCATCCATTTATAGGCAGTGTCCTTGTGCTGGTACTGTAAAGCACACAGCAGTTATTTTTAAAGAAAATGTGCAAAAGACAAAAAAAAGCCTGTTACGTATTAACATCATAATGTTTAAACTAAAGAATGTTTTAACTCATCCTTCAACCCAAGAGAAATGAATACTTATTCTCACATAAAGACCTGTATGTAAATGTTTGTTGTAGCTTTATTCATAATCACCAAAACCCAGAAATAATCCAAATGTCCTTCAACTTGTGAAAATAAACAGGCTGTGATATATCCACAAGATGAAATACTAGCTAGCAAATAGAAACAACAAATGGAAAAAACCAAATTATTAGTACATGCAATGTAGACAAATCTCCAATTCATTATCCTAAGGGAAAGAATCTAGACTACACATTCCAATTGTTTGACATATGACTTCTATGACATATTGCTCTAGAAAAGATAAAGCAGTGGGGACAGTGAACAGATCAGTGGTTGCCAAAGGCTGGGGTGGGAACAGAGGTTGACTACAAACAGGTAGTGAAAGGAAACATTTTGAGGTAATAGAGCATATCTCACAAATGAGTAGAACTATCTATTTGTCAAAACTCAGAACTGTTCGGTTAAAAAGGTGAATTTTACTACATGTAAATTTTTAATGATGGGGGGGAAACATGGCACGTCCCAAGAAAGATCCTGCATTTGCGCTGAGTTAGGAACGGCAAGTGGCAGGCAGGCCACAGATAGAGCTCCAATCATGAACCCCAATGCTAAGTCGAAAGCCCCAATAATCCTGCATGAATATACAATCTCATGATTGTCATTGCCCCCTTTCCTGGAAAATTGACATCAACAGCACAGTCTAGGAAATCACCCAACACATTTATTAAACAAGCATAGATAAAGGATTCTTGAGATTAAAATCTGTTTTTGGAGAAAAGAAAATTTATGGAAATCAGGTCACGGAAGCTTGCTGAAACAATGGGAGTAGCAGACTGGGAAGGTTCACTGTTAGATATTTCCCAAGACAACAGCAGATTGATTAAATATAAGAGAGAGATGTCAACAACTTAAACTGGAAAATAAAGTGATTTGCAAAAGACAAACTGAATTGTACGTCTCTATCCACCTTCATACACAGAAGCCCAGCAACTCAACAGAGAGCAGGGCTGAACGGGAAAGGCAAGCCGCCAACAGATCATCTGTGTTGAAATGCTGACCCCTTGTGTCTGTAAGACACTAAAACATGCGATTCCTTGCTGAACCACTGGATCTGGTTTTTCAACCTTGTTTGTATAAGCAATAATGAAGGAACCAATACAAACAAATTCCAAACACAATTTACCCTAGGAAATATTGCATTTGGCACAAAAACATGTGTTGGCTCTGCCTCCATTCACCCCCAGCCTGTCCGCCACCCTCTTTCCAGGTACCAGTCACTTGTTTCGTTTCTCCCAGGAAGAATACAATCGTCAGAGGCAAATTAAGGCAGCATATCATCACGAACCCGAGCAGAAATAAATGAAGACATAAAGAAAGGTAGAGTGTATTTATTTTCTCACTAGTTCATCATCCAATTGTCAGAATTTTTACTGTGCCTACCACCTGATTCTCAGCCCCAGTATCCCCTTCACTCCTACAGTATTGCCTCCCGACAGAAACGGTGTGTGAATCTTCTTCGTTGCTCTAGGACTTGTTGTAAGTGTACTCTTTAACACTGTTCTTTGGCCAGGTTCCCAGTTCACCTAAAATGCGGATCTGCCTTAAAGGCACCGCCCTGACCAAGGCTGGGCATTGGCTCTACGGCGGCCACAGGGGCCCAAGTAAAACGGCATCCAAGCAGGAGCTCCAGTCAGTCCTGTAGCCATCAGTTCACTCAGCACGTAAGTACTGAGCACTGGCCTCTCTAGGTGCTGGGATAACTGATCATGTCTAAAGCATCACCGTTCCTACGTGACAGTTCGTAGGCCGCTAAGGAAAAAAATGATCATTAAACTTGCTACAACGCCTAAAATGATAGCCCTGCGTGTTTGAAATTTATATATTCTCAGAAATGTGGCAACTTCTGCTTTCCACTGCAATGCTTAGTTATAGGCCAACCTTTTCTGCGTGTGTCTCAGAAAATGACACACTGCTTTATCTGCTTACGTGCAGCCTCCTCGGATGGATGCAGAGGGTAACGCATCCGGTTGTTGCTTTAAAAGGAAATGTCATAAAGGGGAAAAAGCCTGTTAAATATTAACAGCATAATTTTGAAACTAAAGGAGATATTAACTTCCTCCCTCCCAAAAATATACGAATGACCTAATTTAAGAATATAGGACAGAACTTTAAACCAAAAAACATTTCGCTTCATTTTTTAAAAAAATCAACCCATTGTCTACATTCTCGTTTTGCCACGGACAGTTAATGTGCTGTGGCCACATGCCAGGGCTGTGAGTGCTACCTGGGAAATTGCAATCCAGAGCTGAGAGCTTTATTTTTTTTCTTTTGGTTTTGTGTCTCCTAGAAGAATTTTTTTAAATTTACCATATGTATGCCCTATTTTTAAGGTGAAATTAGCATTTTTCACCATCATTTAAATAACTGGAAACTATGTATGGGTATGCTGTAAATGTTGCTATTTAAAATAAAACTTAAATAGATCTTCGTAAAAATATGGAATTGCACTCATTCTTCTAGTGACAAAGTCCTTGCTTCAATACCAAATGTAAGAAGCCCCACTGCCCCATTCCCACGCCTTTCTTCACACACAGTAACTTTTTGTTTCAATGCTCAATCGCAGTATCATAATTTTGGACATTTTGAATGTCAATGAAACCCACTCATGCAGTACCAGAAATGCACATAAAGCAAAGTTAACTTGGACAACTACGACCAGTTCCTGCATATTCAAGCATTTGCCATGTGAAACAGAACCATTTTAATGACTTGAAAATAGAGGGAAAAGGTGCCTTAGAATTGAGGAAACATGGCGGGGTGACCTCGACGAGAAGAAAATGTGGGTAGCAAGCTTGGGAGAGAGAATTCGATGCAATCTTACTTACGAGACTAGCCGCCTTTCCAATTTAAAATTAGGATTCTTCCTTTAAGGAGTCTCTCCATGTACCTCAAATACGGGCCTGGCTTACAGGTAGGCAGGCAGTCGGGGTCCGGCAGCAGGGGTCTCCTCCGCTCAGCGTCCACCCCGAGTCTGATTCCCAGACCAACGGTCTTAGCCTCACCCCGGGGGCTCGTTGGAAATGCAGATTGTCAGCCTCGACCAAGAGCAGCTCGATCAGAATATTGGGGAGTGGGCCCTGCGTGCAGTGTTTTAATAGTCCTCCAGGTGAATTCCATGTGAGGCAGTTAGGCCACTGCCTTCCAGAAACTCCAATTTATCCCACCTGTTTATAAAGTTTTATTTAAATTTCCAGGCCCCTCTCAGGTGTCCTCAGAGGAAAGACGGAAGGAAGCCTGAGTTCGTGCTTGAGCCAGCCTGTCCTGGACGGCACATCCGGAGGCCATCGCGGTGGCTGCAGCAGCAGCAGTTACTGAGAATCCCCTACGAGGGGAAGAATGTTGGTGGAAAAGAGTCACGGGTCCAGCTTGGCTTCCCTTGCAGAGTTGTGTCCTACCACTCCCACCTATTAAACTTAGGGCACCTGAGCTGGTTTTACTGAGGCACTGATTTTCTAAGGTGAAGATGATTTGAGAGGGGAAGGTGTTAATACCACTATATCACATGTGAAAAAGTTCTACCATTTCAATTTCCCTATACTTCTCATTATGTCCCAAGAAAGTATCCATTTAGTCTTCTTCAGTACATCTTTAACAGAGCAGAGAGAGACTCCAACAGAAAAATCCCGCGGCCTGCCTCGGCAAGCCCCAGTTTCTACCTAGACTCAATAGTTTCGGGTTCTCTCCATTACTTCTCTTCATGGTTAGCATCTACTGTGGCAGGGGATACTGATTTTCCATCTGACGTCATTATCTAAAGTTCCATTTTTAAAAAGTGTATTTAAGTGAAAGATGAATCATTTTAAAGAAAAACATTAAGAACATTATAGTAGAGGTGATTTGAGGATATGGTATGTAAATAGGAGCCACTATATTAAGGAAGACTGTGGGTTGTGTGCCTGGCGCCGACACTAACGAGACTTCAATTCAGCTCCTCTTCAAAGAGTCCATTTTTATTCCTACTTCGACCTTTAGGCGGCCTTTCAGAAAAGCATATACATAATACCTGGAGCTTTACTCGATCAGTAATAATAGTTGATTTAAAAAAATCAAAACAACAACAAAACAGAAATAGAAAGGACATCAAACAGGAAGAGACTGTGGCCAAGATTTTTTTGAGCCTCACCCAAGGTCATGTTTATTTAGTTTAGAGAGAGAGGGAGAAAGAACATGGATGTGAGAGAGAAACATTGATTGGCTGCCTCCTGCATGTGCCCCAACTGGGGATTGAACCCACAGCTGATTGGTGTACTGCACGATGGTCCAATCAACTGAGCCACTCGGCCAGACTGTGACCAGGATTTTTAGGGTAACATCTTTGAGATAGAAACTTGAATTTTTCAGCTATCCTTTGTAATGAGACAAGGACAAATGAGATGACAGCTCTCCATTTCTAGTAGCAATTAAAATGTAAATAATTCCTGCTGATAATCATGATTATTTATATGCTGTGCACAAATTTTATTCTTCTTTATACAATCTTGTAAGCATTTAGGCTTAATAAAATATGATTTTATTAATCCTAGAGTCAGGATTTCTCCACAGCACTATTTCTGTGAATGTGCTTCCATTTAAATGCATCTTGAGAATACACACTAATATTTCCCATGGCATTTGTGTGGATGGTACCTTTTACATATAAATTACTGACCACTGAGTTAAGTTTCATTATCATTTTGCAAAAAGTTCAGCATACAGAGTTATGGCTGTATTGTAAGTTAATTTCTAATTATTCAGTAGAAAACTGTCATAGCATGTCTAGTACTTCATAGAGTTTGGGGCAACTCTTAATATGCTTACTGGCTTGGAAGTGAAAGTTTTCTGTGAAGCCAAGTAAGTGATAATGAAAGAGGGTAGTAACAACCTCCTAGGAAGGGTGATGCGTCACAGAGGGCAGGGATTGGGTAACCAGAACTCTCTTGGCTACCAGAGAGGCTTTAACTGGATTCCTCTCTTTGGCCATTTCTCCTACTGGGATCCAATACCCACCCAAGCAAGTAAACACACCGTGAATGTTACTGGATTTCAGAGCCTACTGAGAGCCAACAAGCCGATTCAATCATTACTAGCAACCTACGGTTCCAGAGATTCAGAGCCAGGAGCATTGAGCAACTAACTCATTAATAATTAATGATATAAAAACAGAATCAGATTAGCGCAACTCAGAACAAAGATGAAAAACACATTAATCACCAGAGGACTAAGGGCCGAAGAAGTCAACTCCTTTCAGCATCAAGCTCCTTGTCCTAAATAAAGGTCTGGAGCTGAAATAGAACTAGTTGCCAGAGGCTCCTAGAGGTAAAAGTAGGTTCCTGCAGAAAATGTTCCGGATCCTGGGATGACAACAGCACAGATTAGAGAATACTCTGTCCCTGTTTAATTGTTGCCATTAGCTGTTGCAAAATATAACTCGAGGCAAGCAGCAAAGACAAAAGCTCGTCTGAATTTTCTTCTTTCCCTTCCCAGTGACAGCCTATTAAGCCTTGCCCAGTCTTTTCCTGTTTCATAACCAATTGCCATAAAATCTTTTTGCAATATTGTCCCAGGTGAAAGGCCGTGAGTTCCGGCAAGATGTTTGTTAAGTGTCTCGGGGTTGAAAATAAGATCCCACGGCTCAGAGCTCTACATATTTTGTCCCTTTCCACCTACAGCCTCTCCACCTGTCTCCAAGGAACCTGGGGGAGTTCCCCGGGGGTCACCTGCTCCCTGCCTGCACCTACATACCAACCGCAGGACACGCCTCAGCTCTCCTCCAAAGACAATGACTGGTGGGACTTCACCTGCATTTAGCAAGTGTGGCTGTATTATTTGTCTACATGCCTGTGACCTTGGGTTCTATGTCAAGTGCCCTCTCAGTTAAATTCTGGGGCTTTTCCCAGACATGACTGTATTTCTTGATGAAGCAAATCTGGGTCTCCCTCTTCTTTTGGGTTTTCCCCAGGTCACTGTGTGATGTTACCCTGACCACTTACTCTGTCACTCTCTCATTTCTCATTGATAGTGATATGCAATGTTATAACTAATAATTAGATAATGGCCCCTCCTCTTGGGAGACTTAAAGTATTTCATGAGGACTACCCAGTATCCTTCATGTGAGGAAGGTTTTATTATTTATGTTGTTTTCACATTTTGGTTCCGTTTAATAGATTCAGATACTGAGGCACCAAGATGTTTGAATGATTTTCTGGGGATCGTGTGTTACCATATTTGCTTGGCACTGTGTTTTCAAAAGCCTCTGACTGTGTCTCCTGGTATGTACTATTCAAACCAAGTTCTATGGCTAAAAGTAACTAGCATTCGTATCTGGCGGTAGTTAAAAACTTTAATAGTCACCATTAAAGCCAAACACCTGGCTCATTATTTTAGCAAAAATTAAGAAAGATATTCTGTTACATTTTTGCTCAAAAAATAGTTTTTATTTCCAACTTAAGTGCCTGTCTGGTTGCTGCTTCTGAAACCTAATGGAGATGGAGTGTCCATGGGCAAGTGCATGGTCAGAGAGTTCAAGCTGCCTCCACCACTGCCATACACAAAACCAAGCCTCCTGAAGAGCCAGAACGGAACGTGGATCAAGGCAGAGAACACGAGAAGTGGCCTTGCCAAAGTCCAAAGGTTGGGGCAAGAAGGCCAAGAGCCAAGTCTCCAGAGAACAAACAACCAAGCAGAAAGCCTCTCAGGAACAGGATGTTCTGCTGCATTTCCAATTATCCTGGCCTCCGGGCAGGGCATCCGCCTCTCACAACATGCCCTCTTCCCAGGGGCTCACATCTAGGAAGAGCAACAGGATAGACCTCAGAAAGAGCTGCAAGGCCATCCACGGAGTCACACTTCTCCGTTCTGAAAATCCAGTCACTTTAGACTGACTCTCAGAGCCGTCTACTTTGAGGGAGAAGTGATGTAAACAACCTCCCCCGCTCCAGACTCAATGGTCAGTATTTCTCTTTATCTAAACATACTGTCAGGTCTCAAGAGTTACCTGCACTGTGACCACACCTGGTCCACACATTTAAAGTTGTATTAACAGAGTAGTAAACCAGGATTATGAAGGAAGAAGAGAATCGGGAGTGAAGCAAAGCGTGAAGAGGGCAGATGAAATTGCATGAAGTCCGTCGCATTAAGTCTTAAATCAGAGAGCTAATATAACACCAAACAAAGGTTCTTACTGCAGTGGTATTTGACCATGAACTCTGAATGTATTTGAAATATAAGAACAGATTAAAACTAGGCTGTGCTTTTGGTTCTTGTTGTTGTTTTGGTGTTTTCAGCCTAACACTTGAAAGATGATGCTGAGAATTTCTTAATGATTATGGTCTGACAGTGGTTATACCACAACTTTCAGGAATAAAATTATGGACACTGTTAGTAAAGTGTTCCCCTTCTTCATCTCTCATTTTAAGACATTGCCTACCTGTGGCTCCAGTAAGGAGTTCTGAGTAGATAAAGAATTTCAAATAATAATATCTTGCATGTGTCCATAATGTATGGGATACTCTCTTAGGTACATCTCTGTAAAAATGTGCACAGGACTTTGCAAAGTTACAGACAGCAGACTGGTGAAGAAAGAAGTAAAGCGATTGTTGGCTTGATGTCAGAAGTCAGGTCCAAAGACATCTAGATTAAGTCTGTTCAGATTGCTGGTCTCCTAACACAGCAGGCCAGCTCTGAGCGTGGCAGTGTCTTTCATCCAAGGAGGCGGATGCCAAAGAGGGCATTACCATTACACTGCACAGAGGCTGCATTGTGAGCGTGGTGCACAGTGGTGGCTCCCTGCCTCACGGAAGACTCACCTCTGTCCTCAGATGCCAAGCCTGGGCGGAGTCGCGGGAATGCAGGCCACCTGCGTCCCCACTACTGTGTTCTGGGCTTTGCAGCATCTTCCTCCCAGCGTGATTAGGAACATAAATGGGGTCCTAGTCTCGTGTCCTTTTCTCTGGCATACTAAGAAATTCTCCCGAGTCAATTTTCACTGTAAGATAGTAAGTGTAATTTTACCGATTATCAGCCATTATTACATAGATATATAGAGGTCACAATTGGCTCTTACCATTAAATAGAAGGCCTTTTTTCTTCTCTTGGTTAAAAATAGGGGAGGGGAAATCAAGGGTAAAGGGGGTTTATGCAGAGCTTAATGGTAATTAAAATGTGTCTCTGAATGTGTGTGTGTGTGTTTCTGTGACTCATTTCTGCTTTCATATTGGAATAGACTCTTGGAAACCCCAGTTTCAGTTTTATTTTTGTTTTAGCTCAGTTTCATTTTGGGGGTTTTCATACTATAAGCGTTAAACTTATCCATTCACATTAAAATGTTAAGTGTTTTCCAAATTTTTTTAAAATATTTTTCATTTAAATTTCTAAAGATCAATCGCAAACACATAACTTTTGTAAAACAGGTCAACCTTGGTGTGTAAGAAGTATTTACTGGTGTGTCTGTTTTCGGTGGTGTTCCCAAAGAATGCTTTCCGATGACTGCGTTCTCTGGACGGCACCCTGTGCCCTCGATGAGCAGGAGAGAGAGCTGAGCTCACAGACCGTAATGGGAGAGCCAGGACTTCCCCGGAAGGTGAAGCCTCTGTGAGGGCCGGCTCTTCCAGGCTGTGCTTTCTCCCAACACTACCACGGGAGTGAATGAAAAACTATGAATCAGAACTAGTCGCCTGGGAAAGAACATTATGGACAAATGGTGGTAATAGTACAGGTCTTACTGTAAAATTTGCTTCTCAGGAGAAACTACTTAAAGCTTTAATATTGACGATCTGGTTATGTTCCTTCTCTGCAAGCCACCTCTAGAGGGCAGTGTGCTCTTCCTAACAGACGGATTTCCCCGGTTTGGAAGAACTCCCTGGAGTGAAAACCTAAAATGTTTGACATACTTGGGGACAGCTCTAAATCAAACTGACACATAAATATCTCAGGCCCAGGATCCTTTTTGTCTGCATGGGCGAGAGAGACTGAAATGGGTGTGCAGATAGACCAGCCTTCGCCCGTCGCTCCTCCCTCCCCAAGCCAAAGGCTCTCGTATTTAGTGTAAACCGCACCTGAAACTTCCTTTATAGTATAAACCTGACACTCTGAAGGAAAACATTTAATTTTAAAAGCAGAGCAAAGAACAGAGGTAGAATGGGGTGCGTGCAGAAAACGGCTGCCAGTTGAGTGTTGCTTTTGCTGGAGCCCAAGTAGTGGGAGCCCAGGCCTGAGGAGACAGCCACAGAGGCCAGAGTGCCAGGAGAGGAACTTGAACTTCCTCGTGTAGATTGCAGGAAGCCAGAGACGACCAGAAAGGGACAGGGTCAGATTCGTGTGTTACATGGATCATTCTGGTAGCTCTAGAAAGAGCAAAATGGAGGGAAGCAAGTCTATCAACTAGGAGGCCAGTGAGGAGGCTGTTAGTCCAGGTGAGAGAAGGCACGTCTGAGACAGGGTAGCGGTGGCAGGCATGGAGTGGAGAGGAGGGATCTGAGAAGCTCGCGGGAGAGAAAACCATCAGGATGTAACGATCAATTGGATGAACTGACGAGGAAGAAAGAAAAGTTGAGGCTCACATTTTCTGGTTTTGGTCACTGGGTAAAGAGAAGGTAAGACAACAGAGAGAGAGATTGAGGTTGGAGGGACGTGTTACTTAGTTGCTGAGAAATCAAATCTGAAATACCTGAAGAGGGCCCAAGTGAAAGCGCTTGGAGGTCATGAAATCAATGAGTTTGATGAGGGTTGCAGGGGGAAGGAATCTGACTTGGAGATGGATTTGGAGAATCATTAGGATATAAGAGGTAGTTAAAATCCTGAAAGTGGGTAAATTCACCCCAAAAGAGCATCAGTTATGAACAGAGCAGTGAGCTGAAAGCAGGTACCCAGGACAGAAGCATGTGTGTAAGCAGTGGGTACAGAGACAGCAGTTCCTATTGAGAAGAAACAAAGAAACGAAACAAACTTTTGGGAGCTGTGGTGCACGCAATTAGCACTGCCAAATGCCACAGAAATGTAGAGCAACATGAAGGTTGGGAAATGTCCGTTGGATTTTGTAGTCAGAAGAGCACTGGTGGCCGTAACAAAAGCACAAGCCAGATGGCAGGGGAGCAGAGTGAATGCATGACCCATGAAGTGGGCACAGAGAACAGGCTACTCTTTTATGAAGCTGAGATAAAGGGAAGAAGACATGGAATATTTTGCAGGGGATATGAAACCAAAAGTGGATTTTTCAAGATTGGAAGAGAGACAAGTAAGCGTATAGTGTGAAGGGAACTTCAGAGGCAAGGGTGGCTGTGGAGCCTGACCCCGGCAAGTACTGCCGGGCAGGCCCGGGAAGGAAGGGGCCCGCGGCTGAAACTGAAGAAAGGTGATAAGGGGCCTGGGTGCCTCTCAGTGTGGAGGTGTGGAGGAGGCAAGAGATCGAGGGATTTTTGTGCTCAACCACCTCTGTACAGGAGAATTTGAGATATTTTTGATACTGCTCATATTACTGGTCGTTCAACTAATGATCAAGTCAGACTTTGTGTTGTGTTTTCCTCGTCCTGCCTCAAAGGACTGGAATGGCTTGTTTCTGGGGCTGAAAGCAAGTTTCTGGACTAGCAGGATGGCAGCTCCCTTGTAGGGTTTTTTTTTGGAGTGGTGATTCAACTGGGGTTCTATAAATGGTCATTAAACTGCCTACTGTGTATCTATCTTCATACCTAAGGAAGTGAAGGGAGAACTGGTATTGAAGAGGGTGAGCGATGAGACCTTGGGTGTGACTTTTCTAGAACAGAAAAAGGGGCCTGTGGGAGCAAGTGTGAAAGTGGCCAATAGCTGGCCACTTCCTTAATGCAGTTCCTTGAAGATGGCAGGGTCTCAGAGGAGGTGGCATGTGGTGGTGAGGGGTCCTGAGCTCCCTAGTCACACCCTGCCTAAGTTGGCCAAGGTACAGAGTGGGGTGGATGGGTTTGGGGAATGGCGCCTCCAGCCTTAGATATACCACCCTGGCCCAGACAAGAAAAAACTAAGCTGTTACTGCGGTACATCATAGAAGAAAGGTCTCTCCCAAATTTTCTGGACGGAGCAATCCTCCAGGATGCCTAGCAGCTTTCAGAGAGGAGGAGCTCCACAATAACTGCTACTGAGCATCACCAGTCTGGAAAGGGAATTTTGGACTTGAACTTTAAAAAAAATGCCCTATGATATTTCTTGCATCTGAGTATCCTCGAGACTTCATTGCCAGTACAGCTCAATTTTCTTGACAGAGTAGATAGGAAGTTTGATAATAGTAAGGGGAGTATGAAGTGGATGTGGAATTGAGGGTTTGAGACACATAAAATTATTTTTAAATAGGGAGTCTAATTTAGACTCTTGAAATCAAAGAGCATTGATAACTAGAAGGGGCCTGCTGAACTTTCTCGTCTAGGCTCCACTGCATTTCTCCCTACATGTAGTTTACGGGTGAGAATAAATCAGAGAGGCTAAAGGTCAGACTCCGTACCCAAAGCTGCTGCACCACGCAGAGGCTGCCCTGACTTCTGGTCTCACCAGAGGTGAGCAGCCTGGGTAGTCAGCTTCCTTCCTGCAGCTGACCTCCAGCAGCAGGGTGGGCAGCTCAGCTTTGCACCCAGGCCCTGGCCCCACCTGACATGAGGAGGCTGCCCCAGAGCTGGTACCAGGCAGCTGCCAGGCTCAGCAGAATCCAAGTTGAGAAGACCCTTGGGCTCCAGTCCCTCTCAGCCCCTTCCCTCACACAGAAGGAATGGAGGCCTCTGCACAGCTCAGGGGCTTGCCCAGTCACCTGGGGAGTATAAATCAACAGGAAAAGCCTGCTCGTTCTGGTTTTTCTTTTTCCAAGCTTCTTTTGCAAACATACAGCTCTTTGTCTGACTGTGCAGAAAACAGTAAGCACCTCCCGGTATTAAAATCCCCACCAAAAACACCTTGTACGGGTCACTCTAACTCGGATGCACTCTGATTCCTGGAGGTGCTGACAGGGGCACAGAAGCCTTGTGCTCCCATCTCCTGTTAACTGGGTCAGGCTTCACGCTGAGGAAGGAGGGGAAACAGCACTCTGCACTTAGCTGATGGGATATTAATGAAACCAGAGAGTGACAAGGAGAGGAGCTATAAAAAGACTGGGGCTTCCCCTTTAATGCTGGCTGCCCAAGCACCAGGTCCTTCAGGGGAAAAAAAAAAAAGGCCAAACAACAAGAACAGAAGCAGAAATCCATACTGTGGCCAAAAGGAAACTGTGTGGCTGAACCCAAAGAGATAGATGGGGCCAAAGCCAGGGGATTAAGCTGGGTGGGGGAGGAGAAAACAGTCTGGGCAGGGCCGCACAGGCCCACCTCCGCTCGTCCGCGGTGGGAACCACGCAGTTTTCCTGATGATCTGCACCCGGATTTGCACCTGGAAATCAAACCACTCCATCACATGTCATTCCTAGAATCCCGTGTCCTTGCTCCTTCTGTCCCCAAGCTGGGACCTACACCGCAGTTTCTGGGATCTCCAGCACCAGGGTACTTCAAAGAAGGGGAGGGAAAACATATTCTGTATGCAAAATGGTTTTAAGGGCATACAATTTGTAATAGTTACGTTTATTTTTATAGTCATTCACCAGTTATAAGAAGCAATGCTGGTTTTCAGTTAGTAATGAAAAATTTTACTTAAGTTAAAAAAAGTGTTAGTCAATTTAGAGAAAATTATCCTGACATATACAATGAAAGTGAGATACTAGGGACCGAAATCTGGGAAACGCTGCCCAGGACCTTCCCAAACCAGGAGCAGGGTCAGCTCTGGTCAGCTGTCCCTCCTTGGAGTCAGAGAAAGGCGGGGCTTGAAACTAGTGAGCTTGTGACTTCTCCCACCCGGCGTAGATCCTGGAGGGGTTTTCCTTTTGTTTTGTTTCCTTTGTGGAGGGTATCTTTATGCATCTCTTGTTTAAACTTTCCAGGTGGGAGTATTTCTTATTCTCATTTTCTAGTTGGGAGAATCTGGGGCCTCCTTAATCCCAAATCACTTACAGGACCAGTGAACAGCAGAGCTGTGAAGGGCTCCTGTTTCCTGGTAAGGACCTGCAGAAGAAAGAGCAAAGTGTGAGGAGCAACTCTTCCATCATCTTCCAGTGACATGTTGAATCACAAAGAGAAAAGGCACATTAATATTCACGTGTGATATGACATTCTTTGCCAATGAATGGTTAAATACTCCCATTTTTCCTCTTCATCATTTAAGACCGAAAAAGCAAAACCAGTTAGACAAGGATTTAATCCATTGTGATCTTTATCCTTGAAAAGCCTTCCAAATCAGTGACATTTCTGTCTCTAAACCCACTAGGCAGAGAGTAACTTGGTTCAGTGCTGGAATCAAGTCAAAATTCAATAAATATTTAATGTAGTCAATGAAATAATTTCCTTAAACTCTGACCTTTGTTTCAGCTGCTTTCTTTCAGAATAAAATAAATACAAGCAAGAAGAGTGAGACGTATTTGAGTGCTGCTGAGCATATAGAAATAACAAAGACAAGTCGCAAGAGAGCACAAGCTGATTGATCCAATTAAAAAATAACATGAATGATTTGATATTTTGTCTAAAAATGTTTTTTCAACAAATTGGCCAAGTTCATTATTAATGCTTTCAGTGCAGTCTCTGTCTACATCTCCTGACTGCATGGCCTGGAAGTAGGGGGTCCCCCAGAACTCCCCTTCTGTCGACTACCTCCTAAGGTTTGGTTCTCATTCCCTTTTAAGCAATGGGAATGAGAACAAAGCATCTAACCTGACACTCAAAACAAAGACACAAGAACTAAAAATGGGTATGCGAGAACTGAGTTTGAGTCTCTCTCCAATTTATGATCAAAAGTTTTTTTATGCTGGGGAAGTCACTACATCTGCCTAGTCCTGAATTTTCCCACTTGTAGATTAAATGGTAGGATTTCTGAGTCATGGAGTCTCAACCCGGGGTCCACAGATTCTGTAAGAGCTACATAAAACTTCCAAAGTCAGAGTTATTTATGATCACCAAGATCTGGAAGCAGCCCAGGTGATCATCAGTAGATGAGTAGATAAAACAACTATGGGACACTTACACAATGAAAATTACTAAGGAAGAAAATTTTACCCTTTGCGACAGTGTGGATGGATTTGGAGAACATTATACTAAGTGAAATAAGCCAGTCAGAGAAAGGCAAATACCATATGATTTCACTCATACATGGAATCTAATGAATAAACTGAACTAACAAGCAAAGTAGAGACAGACTCGTAGATAGAGAGCAGGGTGACAGCTCTGGGGGTTGGAGGGCAGGAGTCAGAAGATAGAGGGATTGAGCAAAAAGGAAAACAGACTCACGGACACGAACAACAGTGTGGTGACTTCAGGGGTGGGGAGAGGGAGAAGGTAGGTGGATCTGCAAGAGAATATAGGAAGATAAATCGTAATAAAAATACAATTAAAAATTCTAAAATCAAAGGAAAATGTGGCAATTATTTAATTCACTTTCCTGGGTGCAGAATCCATCATTTTAACCTGATTTGCAAGTGGTGACAACTGTGTCCTAGGTGACTTTTAAGGTTACTTCCTGATCTCCTTTTTTTATTGTAACAGGCAGAAAATCACAGGGCAGTGAACAGGCATAAAAGTGGATCTGTTACAGAAGAGAAGCATAGAAGTTATTGTTTTCCTCATTTCTCTACCAATACTGAGCATCTATGGGCTCTTTACCTTCCTTCATCCAAAGTCACTCTGAGGCCCACACACTCATAGATAACGGGTTACCTCTTTGGAAGAAGGGAACCTTGTATGCAACATATAAAGCAAACCATGTTTGCTCTTACTAAATCATAAAAAAAAAAAATTTGGATGTTTACAAAGCAGATCTGCATAACTCCTGCCACACATTTCCATTAGCTTTGACAGAAAAGAAAATTCTTCATGGAACTATTAAGTGAATCTACAGAATGACTGAAGCCATATAGTGTGATGTTTGAGGCTTCTTAAAAGCATGGCCTCAATTGCCTTCTAAAAGTACAGAGAACAACAATAAACCAATAAACTGAATGGGAACCAGAGAGGACGGGGTGAGAAGAAGCAATAATAAAACAATGAGCTATTGAAAAGATAATAACAGTTAAAAATCTAAAATTGGCACATTTGCCCATAAAGTCAAGTCCCCTGGAGACATCACCACATTCACTTTGTACTTACTGAGCTAAGTGAGAGAGACAAGCTGAAACTAACTCCCTCCATTGCCTTGTTGGCCCAGAGATGGGGGAGGGGGAGGCCAAGGGAAGTACCTCTCTTTTGTCCACATCTCCAAGTCAAGCTAACTTGTACCAGACATGAGGGGAAAGGATGCGTTAGGTTGAACCGTATAAATCTGCCACCTTTGTAAATGAAAAATGGTCAAATGTTGGCAATGTCATGTGGTGCAAACTAGTACACAGAATACCTCCAAAGCAGGGACATTCTAGATATCTGGGTGTTGACAAGGTGTTCCTGACTCATGTGTCTTTGGCAGACGTAATTAAGACTCTGAAGAAAAAGAAAGACATAGGCGATTCACTGTGAAATCTAGTTAGCCCATTCTTGATGGTTATAATAATGTTTCTTTTTAAAAAATAAATATTAAAATTTCAAGATATCTCTTACACCAACGCAGAAAACAGAGTTATGTTTCTTACAGAATTCAACTTCACAAACCACTGTCCAGAGCTTGCAGTGGACAGAGCAGAGACTGCTGGGTACAGGAGCATTTTCAGGGCTTCTCAGGATTGATCTTAATCAACAGATGGAGAATATTAATATCTCAGAAATAATTTGCTAACAAAGAAAGGCTCTGGAGCATCAGCATCATCTTGGAGATTGTTAGATCTTTTTGTTTTTTAAATCCTTGATGCCCGTAATCACAGTATACAATAGTCTAGATGTAACATAATTTAACTAATGCCCCATTGCTGGATATATAGTTTCTAATCTTTTAATATTAACACATTTTCTATAATTATTAACCTTCCACATTGAAATTAGTAGGGTTTGGCAGGAGGTTATTTTATGCAAAGAGAAGTCTGACAGGTATTCAAGTTGAAATGTTAAAGTGTGACGTTTCCTGTGAGTGTCGCAGTGGACGGGACAGCAGTCCGCCAGGCTGCCTGGCCTCTTATCAGCATGTGGTCTGTCGGTTCCTCCTTAATGAGCCTCATCCAAGGGAACATCTGATTGGACTAGCTTAGTAAACGTTTTATGTAAATTCCTTTGCTACTCACAGCCCCTGGGTTTTTCCTAGAGAATTTATCAGTTTAAAAGACCATGTTTCAAAGAGCAAAATTTGAAGCCTTGTGTAGTTTTCCCCAGTTTTATTAAAAGTATAATTGACCTATAACACTGTATTAGTCCAGGGTGTACAACATTATTCGATAGGTCTATATTGCAAAATAATCACCACAACTAAGTTAGTTAACATCCATCACCTCATATTGTTAAATTTTTTTCTTGTAATAAGAACTTCTAAGATTTATTCTCTTAGTAACTTTCAAATACTGTCTACAATGCAATATTGTTAACCAGGTTGCCATGCTATTCATTATATCCCCAGGTATTATTTATATTATGAGTGGAATCTGTACCTTTTGACCTCCTTAACCTATCTCCCCATCTCAATCCTCTGCCTCTGGCAAACATCAACATAATCTCCTTAACTATGAGGTCAGTTTTTTTTAGATTCAACATATAAATGAGATCATACAGTATTTGACCTTTCTGGACTTATTTCACTTAACATAATGCACTCAAGGTCACCCATGGTTTTGCAAAGGGCAGCACTTCCTTCTTTTTTTTTTGAATGGCGGAATAATATGTCATAACATACATAGCTCACATTTCCTTTGTCCACTCATCTGTTGGTGGACAAGGATATTCCCATGTGTTGGTCACAGTGAACAAGGCTGCCATGAACATAGGAGTGCACACATCTTTTTGAGATACTGGTTTTCTTTCCTTTGGATATATACCCAGAAGTGGAATCGCTGAATCATATGGTAGTTCTATTTTTAATTTTTTGAAGACCCTCCATACTATTTTCCACAGTGGCTGCACCAGTCTGCATTCCTCCGAACACAGCACAAGGGTTCCCTTTTCTCCACATCTTCACCAGCGTTTGTTATCTCTTGTCTTCTTTATGATGGCCATTCCAACACGTGTGAGGTAATACCTCACTGTGGTTTTAATTTGCATTTCTCTGATGACTCGTGATGTTGAGCACCTTATCACGTACTGTTGGCCATCCGTACATCCTCTTTGGAAAAATGCCTATTCTGTTCCTCTGCCCATTTTTAATTGAGTTATTTTTTTATTGTTTTGCCATTGAGTTATAGTTCTTCACATATTTATAAAATTTAAAATTTATTTTGGATATTAAGTCCTTATCAGATCTATGATTTGCAAGTACTTTCTCCCATTCTGTAAGTTGCCTTTTCCTTTTTCTGATAATTTCCTTTGCTTTCCAGAGGCTTTTTAGTTTAATGTAGTTGAAATATATCTTGACAGTAACTGTTGCAGCTATGTTAATTAAGAGCAGAAAACTTTAGGGGCACGATGAGTAGACCTTGACACATGGTGTTAGTGACACTGGACTCCTACAGAAAGGCAACAGCCCAGACTAGTGTGGCTCAGTTGGCTGGGTATCGTCCTGCAAAGCGGAAGGTCACTGGTTTGATTCCCCGTCTCAGCATCTGACTGGATTGCAACAGAAATGCGACAGTGAAACAAAGATAGGTCTGGGCTTTGTTATTTCCGACTACATCTTCCCAGGGAAACAGGACAGCAGAGCCTGCGCCCTAGGGGGTCTCAAGGTGTCACCAGTAAAATCTACCCTCAATCAGCAGGAGCACGACTCTTGTTGTTGGCCTTTCCGAGGAAGGCCCATCTGCTTGTTCAATCTTTTCCTAAGGGAGCCAGGAAGAAATTACATACTTTAGTTTGTTTGTTTGTTTGTTTGTTTGTTTGTTTTTTAATAATTTGAAGTCTTTAATAAGAAGCTTTATGGTTATGTCAAATATTAAAACAAATAATGTGCTGAC